CACAACCTTAATTTCCTAAACTTCGTAAACAGAAGAGTGGCAATGATTACATTGTAGCTGATGTCAGTTCGTGATGAAAACCTCAATTCTAATTTGTAAATCCAACTCAAAACTCTAACCTCACACCTACTACGTAATCGTAACCTCTTTGAATTACAAGGGATGTCATATGCTAAGGAAAACTCCACAATATGATAACCCTAACTCAGAATACTAACCTGACTCATGATATGTAAAAATGATCTTGTTTCTTTACTGTAAAGACTTCAGGGATAAATATAACTAATAAGACGGTAAGGTTCATTACCATGGAAACTTGAACATGGGATCACAAAATCAACCAGGTTACATACTACTTATAATCTACTGAAAAAAATATTAAATCATATAAAACTTGGTCACCCTTTCTGTCTTCATCAGAACAAATTATTTGTTGAACGTTAACATTTCACCTATCTTAATTCATGTCACTAATCTTGATGGGAAGAAATCCAAGAGAAATTTCGAAATCTTGGATAGAAACAACAACAAGAAATAGAAGTTATTTAGTGGCTTAGCACTGAAATAACTCACCAATCTATAAGCATACATTAAAATAAAACTAGTCAATTAAGTAATACAAAAAATGATAACTGACTAAAAGGTCAGAAATCTGATATGAACATTAACAGCCAAATTATTGGTGATAAATAATTAAATTTCTTGTTAATCCAGTGTAGGTAAATATAAATAGGTATACTCCTCAAATATCTAACTATTCATCAAACCTAGATCGTTTTTCCAAATAGCCTTATTTAACTCCATTCATTTTTATTGAGATCATGAACTGATCTAAGTTAGACCACTGTTGAAAACCTAAAAGCACTGGATATCCGTTTCGTTTTAGCATGGGACTTCTTAGCAATGCATATCCACGATCACACACATAGGACTCGGACCCAAGGCCTTCAGTCTATTTATTTTCTGTACAACCTAAACACAAATACACACATGCAATTCTTACCTCTACTCCTTCATATTACAAATTAAACTTTATTTTTTCATATCCACCGTTATAGACACAAATAAACAAAGTAATGTCTCGTAAAAAAGAAAATCGTCTTGACTAAAAATTCTCATTACATTAACGTGCTCAGACTTATTATGATCTTGGTTGTATTAAAAATATCCTAATTTGTTTCTTTTGTATAATCTAAACTTGTGATAATTTATTTTGGTTAATTATTGATGTACTCTTAAGTGACAAACATTCAGTCACGAAACGTCAGATTTACGTATATCTACTTATTGGGATCTCATAAAAGAAATAATTATTATTTCATCATTATCAATAATAATATTATTATCAGAATTGGTTTTGTGGAGATTTTAGAAATTTCAATGATTGAAATCATGAATCGATTGAAGCTCGACCACCATAGAAAACCTGGAAGCACTGGACGGCCGTTTCATCTTTGTATGGGACTCCTCAGCAGTGCGCATCCACGACCCCGCCCCCCCCCGAATTCGAACCCAAGACCTGTCGGTCTCGCACCAGGCGCTTAACCAACTAGACCACTGAGCCGGCATCCAACGGTGTTAATGTCTAACTTTAACCAATTCACGAAGTTGCGCCACTGTACACCATTTTCATTAGTGAGTTGACATCTCACTACAAACCTGGTTGAATTCCACTGGTAACAGCTTCTCAATAGAACTCCAAAAGTATCTCTTGAAGTCAGTCACTAGTGAGCGGATGATTATTATCAGAGGGGTTTTGTGGAGATTTTAGAAATTTCACTGATTGAAATCATGAGCCAAGTGAAGCGGTTTGCGGGATCGTGAACGAACACTGCTGAGGAGTCTCACACTAGGACGAAAGGGCCGTCCAGGGTTTCCAGGTTTTCCATGGTGGTCGAGCTTCAATTGACTCATGATTTCGATCAATGAAATAATATTATTGTTATATCTAGAGCTTATATTCTTGATATGCCGTGTATAACTTGAGCACTCGAATGCTAGAACCCTCCCAAGTTTCAAATGAGAAGGTAGAAGACAAATGAGCAGAGCCGTGGACCATTCTTACAATTATTAACAACTTTCTACCCAATGCTTAATTTATTCGATACTATCAACCACAATCTTGGTATTTCGTTCTCTATACTTCTCAAAAGTTTGTATCGATTATGTGATGGAGAAAAGTATTACCACTGCAACTAATAACAAGTGGAATATTCGAAATAAAGTAAACACTTGAGGAAAAAAATTTATTCCATCGATTCAAATTATCACACTTATTAACAAATCATTTAGATGAGATATAAACAATAGCAGAAAAATAATTAAATGTCTTACAATAACTTCAAGAAGGAAAAAAGAGATAATCAAACAACTTATACATTATAAGCAAAGACGGATAGTGGCTAGTAGTGAAATCCAGGACGTGAGTTTTGTCTTATTTGGGACTGAACAATTGCAGTCCTAAATATCAATAGGAAGATTCAAGCAAACAATACCAAATGAATTCTACTTGTACATTATTTAAAAAGTGAAACCGAAGTAGAAATTGATCATATATATATCATTTAAGCCAGTTAATATGATTAAGTTTAATAAGGATAGGGGTTATAGTTGATATGGAGAGTTAATCAGAAGTGACCTTAAGGACAAGTGCATTTCATTTGCTAGGAGATTAGTCCATTTGCAATAACTAGAGTGGTATAAATATATGAATGAGTATCTGTACGTCTTATTCGTTCACTCTTGTGTTCCTGCTCGAGTAGTCAGTTGGGAGGTTTACAAGTAGCACAGCGTGTGTCCGTATCAGATTTTGGACACCGACCAACACACTAGTAATGCTTGCAATTATTTATCAGGTTCAAAAAATAAATTATCGATACAGTGACTTATAGTTTAGTTAAAGAGATTTTGCTGAGATAGGTTTAAAAAGTAGATTGTAATAGCTATAGATTGATTCTAGTTCGAATACTATTGTAAACCAGAGAGAACTGAATAGATGTTCATGTCCTAGTATTGAACTTATCAATACTCTTCATCCACGAATAAGCCAGGTATCAATTTGTAACAAATGAAATCTAAGAACAGAACCATTTTCTTCAAAAACCGCCCACAGCTAAACTATAGCAGTTAGATTATTAGCGAATTACTCTAAGATATTCCTGAAATTTCAGTGGTAAGTTGCAACCGACGTAGTTCATCAGAGTCAGGAGTGAAACGATTGTCACTAATAACATCGCATTATCCCTAAGCTATATCACAAACTAGTTGAGTCTGGAACCAACTTATTAAACCATTACTCAATGTATCTGATGGTTAAGCATTCGACGCAAGTCCTCCAGATCATATGTTTGATTCCTGACAGTGAGGAGTTCTGTACTGAAATAAAATCATCTATTATACCTGAAATTTTAATGATATTCTAGATGAGTTCAGTTTGTAGAAAATACAACCTATAAATAATAGGCTTATGTCAAAATATTTATTTATCTTAATAATTGAATTCATCAGTCAATGTAAGCTAAACAACCATTGAAAAGCACTGGACGGACTTTTCGCCTTAGTATGGGACTCCTCCGCTGCATAAATTCACGATCCCGCCAGCGGAACTCGACTCATAAATTCAACTATTAAAATCATTACAATTTCCACAAACCCCTAATCCAGTTTATTTATCTATTATGTTATAAATTGTATTTGTCAACCTTTTCACGTTTAGTTCAGTAGTAGTTCATAGTTGTAAATTGTGCTAAAGCATAAAGTAATCAACACCAACAATTTTTAAAAATAATAAAAAAACCAAAATCAAAACATTTTCCTATTAATTCCTCTGGTATAATTTAGTATAGACAAATGAAATAAATATCAATTTGTCATGGTTGAGAAGACTTGTACCTCAGCTGAATGATTTTGATGTAGAGTTTTGATCTCTAAGCTGAATGATTAGGTCGTAGAGCTTTCATCGTTCTTCTGAACAATATCATCAGCACAAACTTCAGGTGGAAGTAAAGTTCATTGATAAACGGCAAATTTAATGATGAATACACTTTTAATTTAAGTCGGATGGTGTCTAGCAATCAAATCTAGGAAATACATCAATCTTATTTGGTATTCCTCAGCTAGATACATTTGAATTCTAGTGTTGATATTCATAGTTAAATCTATATACATCATCTATCAATTCAATCAACAACAGATCATCCGTCAAGTCATTGAAGTCAAACAACTACTAACTAACGGTAAAACTACACCATACTGATCTTCACTGAAACAATCACAGTTCAAATAGCACCTCGTTTATCTATGCGGGAAATTCAAAATGAAATGTTAAATAGCTTATAAGCTGTTAGTATATTAACTAAGTGGAAATTGACAATGTTTGGTTTCGAAAATGCTTGAAATCGAAAAAGAATGTCTACTATGCAACCAAACAGTGAATTAACATTCACATGATGCTGAAGTTAAATCAAAAGAAATAAATATCTGTTCCTAATGCAGATCATATATTGAAGTACTGAATGTAATTTAATGTGTAGTCAACGATGCTTTTGTAATTGCAACAACATCTTCCCAATGTAACTCTTAACTCTAAATCTCAATCCTGAGTTTTTAAGTTTGTAAAGCAAAGGATGGATAGGGAAGCATCATTACATTATAATTGTTGAATGTTGGTGATTAAAGCCGTATAGGGTTATAAACCAAACTCACAAAACTAGCCCAACTCCTCATATATAAGCTTAACCTTCTTCTTTTATCACACTATTTACAAACTTTACTTCTACCTGAAATTTATGCTGATGATGCCGTTCAGTAGAATGATGAAAGCTCCACAACCAAATCATCCAGCTCAAAGAACAAAACTCCTATAAAAAAGAAAAAAACGAATATCAATTTGTATGAATGTAATCTGTCGAAATAGTACATAATATTGAATTGTCTTTTCTTTGAATCACTAAAGATAACTTTCTCACATTATCATTAACCAATACATATTCTCTTTTATTCTATTGAGGTGATGGATATGGTACTTTAGTTTGATTTATTTGACAATTCATTGTAGAATCAATATTTCTTTGATGAATAGTTTCATAATCATTGCCTAATGTACATTGGACATCCGATTGATTAATTGAATTCGTTTCATCGATTACATGATCTTTGTATTGAATTACTTTTTCATAAAGTTTCTTTGTTAATTCTTTAGATTGATTTTGATGATTCTCTTTTACTTTATCATTATCATTAACTTGATCTTTTATTTTACCTCGATCATGTTCATCATCAGCAGCATCAGCATCAGCATCATCATCGTCATCATTATCGATTGTCAATAGAATTGACTTGGAATCAATTTCATTCACTGCAAGCTGTTGATTAGTTCCATTGTTACAATTATTCATTTGTATGATTAATTCTTTATTAAATTGATTATTTAAATGATTCATTGGTGATTTATTATGATTAGTTTTATGATTAAATTTCATTTTGGAATGATTCATTTTTTCAAATAAAATAGAAAGGACACGTTCTTTTTGTTCCCATGTTAAATCACGAATTGTTAAATGTGTTGATTTCGGACTAAAATAATTATGCAATAATAATCATAATATTTGTAATAATAATAACAATAATAATATCAATAAGCAAAGATGGATAGTGGCTAGCAGTGGAATCCAGGACGCGCGTTTCGTCCTGATCAATTTCAGTCCTAAAACATCAATCTTCTGGAGGTACCTGAAAAGGAAATTGGATTAGAGGTGGTCTCAGTGACCTGAGAGCGTGACCGCAGTGCCCAAGGGACAACTGCTTGAGACCGGTCGCGCACGGTCTTTTCGTGGAAGGTTTTCGACGTGTTAGCTCCGTTCTTCAAAGGGCCTTACCGCCGGAGACGGAAATCCGTGAGGTAAGGTGAGGTGTGCATTTTTAGGGTCGACATTTTCTAACCCCACCCCTCCTTGTGGGAAAGCAGCATCGCTGTCATGCTGGTTGTCTGAAGGAAACACCTTACTGCTGTCACACCTCTGTACAGTCAGCAGTACGACTTCGCCTTCGGACCTTGGGTTTATTGCTTTTAGTCTTACCGCTCTTCAACCGACCTGTCTGACATGGTGGGACCTTGAGGAACGGTTGTTCCAACCAGTATAGCTCGGTTGCTTCATCACGATAGGCAAGCCCGACCACCACGTCAAGAGAGCAACAACGGTCGGGAAAACATCAATGGGAAGATTCAAGTAAAATCATATCAAGTGAATAATATCAATAGTTGAGATCATGAGTTACCTGAAGCTAGACAACCATGGAAAACATGGAAGCACTGGATAGCCGTTTTGTTCAATTGTGGAACTCCTCAGCAGTGCACATCTATGACCCCACCTAGCGGGATCTATCTGTCTCGCGCGCGAGCACTTAACCACTAAACTACTGAGTTGGCCGGCATCCAACGGTGTTATTGTCTAACTTCAACCAATCCACGAAATTGAACGACACATCTATCATTGTATTCAGTGAGTTACTAACTCACAACAGACCTGGTTGAACTCCACTGGTTACTGCTTCTCGCTAGAATTCCAGGATATACCTCTTGAAACCAGTCATTAGTGAGCATATGTTGATTAGTATCAAAAGGAGTTTTGTGGAGATTGTAGTAATTTCAATAGTTGAGATCATGAGTCAATTGAAGCTAGGCAACCATGGAAAACATGGAAGCACTAGGTAACCGTTTCGTTCTATTGTCGGCCTCCTCAGTAGTGCGCATTCACAAACCCGCCTGGTGGGATTTGAACCCAGGACATATCAGTCTCGCGCGCGAGCACTTAACCAATATTAATAATAAATGAAGTTAAGTAATCAATTTAGTTGATCTGTTAAATGATTAAAACTTTTTGACTAGAAATTAGTGATCTAGAATTTTTCCTGGTATTTGTCAGTAAAGTGTGGTCACTTCTTTGATTACAGTAATTAAATCCAACAGAGAACATCAGTTCCAAGAAAAATACTGATATGTTGGAGAAATAAGCATTAGCTATCAAGAAATTAAGAGCAAATACAGCTTCTTTATGTTTTCTTTTAACTACCTAATATCTTGATATAATTCATCAAATGTTATTTATACTAGTATCAATTGGATTAATAGAATGGTAATGATCAAACAAATATGATATTGGATACTAATCGGTAATTAATCAGAGTGAAGTTTAATAAGTGAATGCCATAATATAAGAGTTGCTTAGGTAAACGTATATCGGACTGACGACCTTGAGCGACTTATCAGTCGCTTATCAGTCTCTTAAATGTTAAATTATTTATTATGATAAAGGAAGAATGTTAAATTTATATATGAGGAGTTGGGCTAGTTTTGTGAGTTTGGTTTATAACCCTATACGGCTTTAATCACCAACATTCAACAATTATAATGTAATGATGCTTCCCTATCCATCCTTTGCTTTACAAACTTAAAAACTCAGGATTGAGATTTAGAGTTAGGAGTTACATTGGGAAGATGTTGTTGCAATTACAAAAGCATCGTTGACTACACATTAAATTACATTCAGTACTTCAATATATGATCTGCATTAGGAACAGATATTTATTTCTTTTGATTTAACTTCAGCATCATGTGAATGTTAATTCACTGTTTGGTTGCATAGTAGACATTCTTTTTCGATTTCAAGCATTTTCGAAACCAAACATTGTCAATTTCCACTTAGTTAATATACTAACAGCTTATAAGCTATTTAACATTTCATTTTGAATTTCTCGCATAGATATACGAGGTGGTACTTGAACTGTGATTGTTTCAGTGAAGATCAGTATGGTGTAGTTTTACCGTTAGTTAGTAGTTGTTTGACTTCAATAACTTGACGGATGATCTGTTGTTGATTGAATTGATAGATGATGTATATAGATTTAACTATGAATATCAACACTAGAATTCAAATGTATCTAGCTGAGGAATACCAAATAAGATTGATGTATTTCCTAGATTTGATTGCTAGACACCATCGAACTTAAATGTAAATGTGTATTCATCAATGAACCATTTACTTAGATCAATTCAATTGTCTATATATGTCAAAGAAAGATACCACAAATTATTTAACAATATACATTTACTTACATTTTTTGAGCAATTTTAAAATCATCATATACATTATTTGTGCTAGTTATCTTATTTTGAAATGTTCTGATAGGTGGATAATTTGATTTACCTAAATGTGCTAATCGTATACTGGCTTCATATGCAGATTTGGCATCATGAATATAATTATTTCTAGACAAGAAGAAAGTAATGAAAATACATAAATGAATGTCAAGTACATTACTTATATCATTTCTAACAATTTTTTATTTTAATTACAATGACAACTATTGAAAATCAGAAAGTAATAAACAAGTATTTCGTCTTAGCATAAGATTCATCAGCATTGCACATCTATAGTTACGTTAAGAATATAACTTTACACGATGAAGTATCATAAGAGACTAACTTTGATAAGCATTCTTGAAGCTCTTGTGAGAAGCTAAGAGCCCTGAATCCAAACGATGTCGTTCATGAAACAGCTATAACCGGTGAATACAGACGACATTATACTATAACATAGATTGGTTGATGTTGGAAATATGAGTTACTGATTGTTGATCCAATAGGTTAAAGTTAACCCACTCGTCTCGAGGTCTGAATTTCCTGGACACAGTAACCAGATGTCATATTGGGTTCGCACTTCTAAGGAGGTCTGCATCATGACGAAATAGATATTCAGTCTACCCTACTTTTCAATGGTACCTTAGCTAAAGTCAGCCTATGATGCAAAACTGAACAGTTTTCATAAAATTATCACATACAAACCGGTTCCACCAAGTCGAAATGCAATGGTGTAATCGATTGATTAAAAGAATTGAAAAAGAGTGACATGAATTTCTTAAAGAAGATTTGCATTGATTTCTTCTCAACATGCATAACGATTAAAACAAAACTATAAGAGCAGTTTATAACAAATGGTTAAATAGTGTAGTATTGCAAGTGCTTCATATAGGGATATGACATAGAATGATATTAGTAGTGTATACAATTAAAAAGGTATCACTGATAACCATACAAGTGGTCACGAAGAAAATAAACAACATTGATTATAAGAGAAAAATAACAAGTTACACATATGTACATATATTAGTGGTTAAACAAACTTTTCCATCCATAATAAATAAATTATCTCCTAAACAAAATTGAAAGATTGAAAATGATAGTTAAAATCGTTTGTCATTTAAAAATATAATAAATATTTCCATAGTTTAAATTACGAAACGATCTTAGATCACTGGATGACTGTTTCGTCCTAGTTTGGAACTCTTTAAGAGTGTGCATACACGACTCCGCAACTGGGAATCAAACCCAAGAACATATATCACACGCACAAGAACTAAACCTCTAGATCAATGAACTGACATTTAGAGGTAATGACCTCTAACTTCAATAGTTCACGATATTGCGTTGCAGTTATTTATTCCCTGCGATAGATGTCTGCTTCACATATGACATGGTTGAACTCCAGGAGTTATATCTTGAGGCTAGTCATTAGTGAGCATAAGGGGATTCGCCGAGACTGTAGAATTATCACTGGTCTAAATCACAAACTGGTCATAGCTTGGATCCTGAGAAGTATATGAATAGTGATATAAATGACAGGCAATAATACTGATTGACACATATATAATACATCACAAATTTGGACATTGTCAATCAGTGGATAACAACTTGATGACTGAATATTATCTTGTCTGCCAGAAAATTTGAATGACATATGATCAACCCTCTACAGGCTCATTCGAGGGCATTTTCATTAACATATCATAGTAGGTAAATTCTAAAATACTTATTTAGAATTCTGGAATCATCTTCAAACAATTTACTCTACACTCCAACTGATTTTTTTAAAACTATCCCGTTTTACCTAAGTAGTTTTAGAATCATCTAAGACTGTAACATGTGATAATGATGATGGTGGTGATAATGATTATGTATTCATGAAACCAAAACTTCGTTCATTGGATATTCAGTAAGCTCACTCAAAAATATGAACAAATCATCTATAACAAGTAAGACCGTGAAATGTCATTAACTTTTTTTGCCCTAAGATTGTCGTGTCATGTTTGTCAGGTTTTGCTTTGAAAAGACCTAATTATATAGACCAAATTACAATGTGGTCACTAGTCTAAGTGACTCGACATTGTGTCCAAAATCTTACGATGTAGGAAGGTGGCGGGTTGTAGTCAGTAGGAAACCCTAGAGCTATGTTTCGTGATATTTGACATTCGTGCCCCCAAATGCCCTAGTACGACCAAGAGTGGAAACAGTTCGCTCTCCCTCTCCAAATGCTCTCACATGGCCACGCGTGTATAGCCTCTGCCTGGGAAGTCCTACTCACTGCCTTCTCACATCACGGGTGTTGTTTACGAAAAGGAGAGGACGAAAGGCGAATGTCCGGCGCTTTAACCGGGCCGTTGGACACGGTGAATCCACCTAGGGGAGTTGGAAAACCCTGATTCCACACCACTGGTGAACATGGGCTCCAGTATCCTGAGGGAACAAATGGCGTATGAACCAATTGTTGGTCACCGGCTTCCATGGGAATGCATCTCCTTACGATGCTCCACTGCCGTGTGGATCAGACTTTCAGGTCGAAGGCTCGGGGAGTGGCCCCTAAGAAAACCACCTGCTTCGGTTTGGGCACCCGGGCAGTATCACAGCCATCACACATATCGAATGGGATTTGTGTGGCTCATATGTATTTGGTGCCTCCTTGTGCCAATATCTATGTGTTAAAATAAATAAATAAATAAATAAATTTGACATTCGTCAATATGGTGTGTCTATAGTCTTTGGGGAATTGTTATGTCATTTAGACAATGGTCACCACTCAGTGATCGATCAAATGTAAATACGTTTTGGTTTGAAAGGAGATTAGTTGAGTTGCAAATATCTTAGTTTTAATGTTTCTGACTGTGAAACGAGACCGGACACTCTAGGGCGCATCAGCTGCCTTAAGATTACAGGTAAACTTTGCTGATGAGTGCAAAATAGTAAAAAACCTAGCTTCATGATTTCTTGTTGACTACCTATAACCACCACAATAAATAGTAAATATGCAACTGCTAATTTTCTACAAGCACTTAACTTTAATATTCTGTATCTTTCTCCATGTATGTATTGACGGAATTCTTGTTACCTTCATAAACATTTACTGACTAATGCCGGTGATAACGAAATTTAATCAGCGAATTAAATAATTTCATACGATTTACATTATTTTGTTATTATTTGACTATTCAAAGTAAGGGAACTTCTGTAGATTGTAGTATTTTCACAGTTGAATTCACGAGTCGATCTAAGCTAGACCACCACTGAAACCTGGAATCACTGGACCACCTTTACTTTCTAGTATGGGACTCCAGCAGTGCACATCCAAGATTTTGCACACTGAACTTGAACCCAGGACGTTCGTTCTCGTACAGTAGACTGGAACCAGAAAAATTCCAAAGTAATTTTATCAAATTACTACTAAATGACATCAAATGATTTAGAAACTAAAGTGTTTTGTTCATTATTAGAGGCCTGTTCAAATGTCTTGTCCATTTATCTTCCAGATACCCAACTAGTATTATAAATGGAGTTGTTATCATGTATATCTTCTTGCTTATCCTTTGAGAAAAAAACAAGAGAGTAATACATTAGGATTCGTGAATCCTATATATCCACTGCTGAGGAGTCCCAAGATAGGATGAAACGGCCGTTCAGTGCTTCCAGGTTTTCTATGATAGTCTAGCTTCAACTGACTCATGATCTCAACTATTGAAATAATTACAATCTCCACAAAACCCCTCCTAATTCTATATATGATAGATAAAAACTTAGTGGCAGCAGTTACATAACCTCTCGTAATCGAAGATATGTACGAGCTATTAACTGTTAAGAACTCTTATTAAATATAATTTTTTTTAAATAATTACAATTCGAATGCATTTGACGCAGAATTTTGTCGAAATATCATACAATCGCTAATGAAAAATCCTTACTTTAACAAAAAATCACATCTGTAAACCAATCACATTTGGTGAGACTAGAATTTATGAACGACCTTTGAACCATGTCAAAATGACCTCGAAACTATTCAACTACTTACTATGGTCAAAAAAGGAGTTATAAATTAGTGTAAGGAATTAGGATTATAAGCTACAGTTAGGGTTTTCATCACAAATCAACATCAACTCTAATACCAAAATGGTACTTCGTCATATAGGTGAATGGATTTTGCACTAAATTCCATGACTTCCTATCTTAAATCATAATGGTTCATTCATTAATTATAATCCCACCTCATATTTATATAGTACATTATATTTTCAAGATAGTAATGAAAGAACTTAATCAGAAAGTAATTCCAAAAACACAAGTCTTATTTTAAAGAAAAAGTGAAACTTACTGATTCACTTTGATCTCATCACGAACATAATTTAATGATGTAATAAAGAATTCTTCAATTTCATTTCTTTGTTGTAAAATTCTATTTGCTAAACTAGATATACGTATCATTCGTTTACGTTCTAATTCTAATGTTTTAGTTAATTTCTCTATTGATTTAGATGCTTCAAATGTTTGAAGTGTCACTTGTTCACTGAATATAGTTTTTTGTTTATTTAAATCTTCAGTTAACTGTTTAATTTCATATTGATAAAGTTCAATTTTTTCATCTTTCTATCGTAATTATTTTGTATAGTTTTTACGAAAAAAGATAAGAGAAGAGTGAGAGGTGAAAAAAAGTAAACAAAAACTATGTTATCATATTATCAGTGAATATTTAGTTTTAAGTAGAAACATTAGCCAGAAGAAATCTCAAATTCACATGGAAATCCCGATCGTCGTTGCTACCTTGACGTGGTGGTCGGGCTTGCCTATCGTAATGAACCAATTGAGCTATACTGGTTGGAACAATCGTCCTTCAAGGTCCTACAATGCCAGACAGGTCGGTTGAAGAGTGGTAAGACTAAAGGCAGCAAACCCAAGGTCCGAGGGCGAAGTCGTACTGCAGACTATACAGAGGTGTGACGGCAGTAAAGTGTTTCATTTAGACCACCAGCATAACAGCGATGTTGCCTTCACACAAGGAAGGGTGGGGTTGGAAAGGGTCAAACCTAAAAGTGCACACCTCGTCTTATCCCACGGATTTCCATCTCCGGCGGTGAGGTTCCAAAAATTACGGAGCTAACAATAAAACTACTCACAAAAAAGTCGTGTGTAACCGACCTCAAGCAGTTGTCCCATGGGCACTGCGATCACGCTCTCAGGTCACTAGGATCACTCTTAACCCAATTTCCTCTTCAGGTACCTCCAGAAGAGCCCTTCTACAGTGTGGGCAACCGGTAAGTGATAACCACCTTCATACTTCTAATAGCACTCAAGACTGACTTGCAAATTACTTAACAGATATGGCCTAAAGTTAAAATGCTAGATGAATTTATGGTGTAACGTAAAAGAAACGCTAAAAGAAGAACATATAACGTTGCAAAATTGATTTGTCCTCCTCAACTAACTAACAGTAATTACACGGAAAAAATGCCAAATCCTTCATTTAATTAAACGTTTTAAATAAATTGTCAGATCAATTTACAGATTAAAATATTATTTGAAAATGAAATATTTGTCAATATTTTCTAAATTATGGCCTAATGAATCAAAGTATAATCAAAGTTTTCTGCCCTCAACTATCCACCTTTTCATTTCTTCCGATTTGTGGCTGAATGTAGGTGATAGAACGTCACTCCATATAATTATTAGTTAGTCAGTGTGTGATCACATTACAGGTTGATCGATGGAGTCTGATCAGTACTAGTCATTAAACAACATGATGTGAGTTAATACTAAATTATACATTACTTTGTACATTTCGGATCTATAGATCATTTACTAAAAAAATAGTTTGATGAAAAAAATCTGTGACGGCAACGTTGGTTTGGTACCGGTTTAAACATCACTGGAGATCACGAGTTCCCCCCAATATTACATATACAACATGATGATAAAAGTCAATCAAAATGAAGTTTAGCTCTAGGATAATCCCTATTACCTAATAACAAATGCTTCAGTATATAATGACATGATTGCTATGAGTGAAAACAAAACCTGATGTAAATCGATACAAAGAGGAGTGCAAACTCTGTTGGTTGATGATTTATTTCAACATCCAGAACCAAAGCACAATTTCTACCGATCACTAACAAATTCGTTACTATACATATATTTTTATATGCATTGACTGTTCTTCAAATAAATTCATACTAAATTGATACGAACAGATATTATACTTAATTGATACGGACGAAATATCACACTAAATTTGTGTGACGACTGATGTGCATGGAGGTGTTATATTGAATAAAATGTTTCACCGAATGTTTGACATGCTCTTACCTCTGACCCCCCTGACAAGTAATACGTCCCAACTTTTAATAGTGCCCACTTAGTTAAAACGAATAATGATGGTTACATATTAAATCTCTCAAAAATGAAGTTGCATTCGTTTCATGCTTTGTATCCTCAAGAAGATGGAAAGCATTGTCCCAAAATAATACACATTGTTGTAAATTAAATACTTACTGCATGTCAATAATCACTCTAACCCTTTTTCGTATGCCCATTTATATTTATTGTAAAGGTAAAGAGTGACTACCAGTAACAGATTAAGCGTTATATTAGGTTGTAAGCTGTGGTAAACTCGCAGTTTTAGATTTATCCAAATTTACATTTACATTTTCTAGCAGATATTGGCTAGTTAAAATGGCATACTGGAAAGGAGTTGATCATGGATCCTTTACATAATACAGTACCCAGGGCCAATTAAATAGACAAGTATGACTTTTTAGAACATTATTAGGTCTAATAACGGCTAGAAATCAATTAGTTCATGAAAACATTTATCGTTCCTTTCACGTAATTACGAACAAGTATGATAATCTATTTGATAATACGTAAGGTTCACAATACACCAGTTTTTATTTACCAGACATAACTGTCAGAATGGTAAAATAAATTTTACATATAATTGACCTGAATATCACTTTTAATCCTTACTTTGGGAAAACATACAAACATCCGCACTTGAATAATCAACTAAAATATAGTTATCCATCCGAAATCAATTCGGTTTAAGTATTTTAAGTTTTAGAGATATGTAAAATTAGATGGTGTTTATCTAAATCAAAACAACTTTGTGAATTGGCCTTTACCGAAAATAGCAGCTTTTATTTCACCTTTCAACTCAAACTAAAATTCCTAAGAGGGAAGCAGAACAGCAACTTGTAATCTCCAAAATAAATATATCTCGCATAATTTTGTACACTCAAACCAAACGGAAAAGAAGTTATACCTATAATTATTCTAGATCATTGTTACAAGTGTTTTGGAACTATGACTTATTAGACAAATGGTCTCTGTACGAGGGGTGAACTTATTAACGGCACAGATCTATAAAAGTATATATTTCAAACACTTATTAACTCTGCATAGAAATACCCACCTCTTGAATAAGTTCCTTCAAGTTTTTGCACTCCAAGGACTTTGACAACAAAATGCCTTCCAAGGTTTCCTTCTCTATAGTAAGCTTTTTGTTTTCTTCATTCAAAGATTTTGATAAGTCCTCAGCTGACACCAGCTGTTTTCTTAAAAACGTTATAAATCTCCTCATCGCGACGTTCTGAACAAATGACAACTTGACGGAATCGTCTAAATTTCTTATTAATTATTTGGTTATTGTTATTATGAAAGCAACTTAATAGAAATCTTGTGTGCTTCTTCTGCCAGAGCTTTGATATCTTTTATGCTACTTTCCCTCATTTTTAGCTAAAAGTATGGGACAGTCTTAATCCCACTTACCTTCTCTTCGAAGAACTTTGTCTCCATATTCTCAATGAGACGCTTTTGATTTTGAACTTCATCGCGCAACTAAAGTAGATCAATGTATCCATTCACCTTGTTATTATAATTATCATAATTATACCTGTTTTATTTCGTTTTCAGTTCGTGTTTTCTCACTTTTATATTCATCCAACTGCATTATTTCCTGTTCGAGTTCCTTAACTTTATCGCACTTTTTTTCCTTTTCACTATTTATGCACAAAATCTGTTGTTTTGCATCCCTGATCTGAATGTGTTAGGAGGAAGTATTCAGAATATGAAATCAATTTACAATTAACTCTTTATCTCTTTCGTGAGAAATGGACATGGATTCGATTTTGCTTTTAAGTTCTTTTAGCTGCACACTAAAACTTCAATAAACAATACGATACCTCATTGTCTTTATCTTCATTTTGCTTTTTTAAGTAAGAAAACACATCCATTGATTCCTTTTCTGATTGACGTAGAGCATCATTAAGTCTGGCATTATCATCCGCTAACTGTTTTGCACGTTCCCTAATTTGTTACTGGAAATAAACAGCCTACTGGATCTTGTCTTTGACTTTTTCCGCAATTTCCACTCTAATCTCCCATAACTTGGCATTAACAGCAGCTATCCTTCTCACATCTTCTAACTTCTTAATCTTATCATCATTGCTTAATAAATGTAATTGGTAAAGCTTTTAAAAAACCTGCTCTTTATATTCTTCTTCTTTGGTGTTTTCTTATTGCTCTTCTTGACCATTTCAGTTATAGAATTGAGTATGTTGCTATGTCACTGGGTGTCTAGTCATTAGTTAAAACACAAGACAGATAATTTCAAAGCACGACAAGCAGAAAGATTTTAACCCTGAACCCTCTATTTCCGATGCTTTTCGTTAGACTCTGTGGGGTTAAAAGTCCGATTAAATATATTCGCAGGTGCTCAGAAATCCTTCCTGTACACAGTGGTTTCTCCCAAACATGTATGCGAAGAAATCATCAGATGTTTGTTGAGTCTGTAAGCGGTTTCCATAGTTTTGCAGATATTTCATGTTTTCAATGTCGGTGGTGTAAAAAGTACAGTGAAAAATCGGAACGTATAAAATGGGCTTAACAACCAAGATACTCACACCACCACTTGACTTAAAAATAACGGCTTGTCACCCAGCTGCCTATGTGGAAATTGGATAAGTGGTCACAGATGCCCATGAATTTGGTAATGCATCATTAACTTATTCAGAGGTTGACTACCAGACTTTTCGAACATTGCAGTGAAAGTCAGTGTTTGAGGACGGTTCGCACATTCTTCTTGAGAAGGCTCTTAACGGTAAACAAACCCCCGAAACAAAGTCACGCAATTCTTTGACATTCGTGCCGACCTCATTAGTTTTACTGAACACACCTAGCTGAGGGCGCTCGGTCACGCATCCGTGCTGCGCATCCCTTGCAACTGTTAGCCAGATCAGATCAAACACTTCTCAATATATCAACAGCTTTTCAAGTATATCTTCGCACCTCTTCATTCCCAACTTTTTATTTGACTTGACTGTTATTCTTAAACTATAAATGTGTTACGCTTAGGGGCGTTGTCAAACTCCGAATACCTGTAGCATCTTCATATTGCACAATGTGTCACAATCCCTAATGGGAGTGGCTTTGTTTAGATTTTCGAAAACATAGGTAGCCAGATGATTTAAAAACTTATAATTCACCTTTTGATATTTTATGCACATATCGAACGCATTCCTTTTCTATGCCTCCAAATTCTTCTACCGGAAATGAATTGATCAACCTACCTCCTACCGACCGTTTCATAACTCTGTTGTTGGTGATACCTTTATAATAATAATAACAATATATTTCTGCATGTGCAGGTACACGCCATTTCTAAAGGAATGATCTATAAATTACAACATTTGTTGGTTCACAACATGCTTCCCAACCTATTAAGTTTATAGTTGTTATAAAATAGACTCGTGGAGCGCTTGCTGTAAACCATGACCTTGAAGAGACGCGTACGTCAAGTTTGTTCCAGACGTCAGAAGTTCCAAAGCTCTTCCCTCAGAGCAAGATTCCAAAGAAAAAAAGAGGAACAGAAGAGCAGCAAGGCACTTCGATATGAACGCCAAACGTTGCTTAATATTGTGTAGTACAACAGACAGAGGTATAATAAATTAGATTCAATTCATATTATCTCTTGTTAGAGCGAAACGAAGTCAGAGGTTCCATATTAGAGAATGTAGTAATAATGAGTTGTGATGTTTAACAAGTCGGAGTAAGCTCACATGAAGGGAGGGAAGTCATGGGTGGTACAAGGAAAGAGGTTTATTAGAAGGGAGTGTGCATATAGAGGGTTAAGTGTTAAGAATACTAATGACTATATCTTTTGTTGTCTGATTTTTTTCTTTCTTTTCTTTTTTTGTCCACCCGATGCCCGAAGTCCGAGTTAGCATGTCATAAGTTGTCTTAGTAGAATAGCTAATCCAGCATAAAATTGAAAACATGAGTCTGCGTGGTGAGCGTGTGAAGACAATTTATATCACAGATTGGTTGACATTTACACGGTTTAGCAAGAACAGTTGTGTGGTTGTCTCGGCAGTGCTTCTCAAACGAAAGCAGCTTACTATCCGGAGCTATTTTGATGATAATGTTGCTAAAAGGTGTATCAGCAAGTGCGATAGAGATACATCAAACAGTTTTCGTTCGATCACTACGCAAATTGAAGCTCAGAGTCGATTGGCTTACATGAGCCGACTGAGGCAGGATAGCTTGTAAAGGAATCTGTTAAAAATAGAATATCAAGAAAGGAAGTTTCTTCTGTTCTACACTCTAGAAATGGCAGCTTTGTAGTAATGGCAGCTCAACTCAGACCCAAAGTCAGGAAAGCACATATACTAGACGTTATACACTCAGTATTCTCAGTAAATTGGATGATAGAACCAGATTCTCTAATTGAAACGGCTAGGAATGTATTCAGAAATTTGTGCTTGAAAGTCACTATACCACACATCCTTTGAACTACATCAAGGGGTTCAATAGACTCCCTATCGTAGTTCAATAAACAGGTTTACACCCGTCGCCGTAAGACGCGAAGAATGTTGAAGAGCTTTAGGTCATTGGGTACTGACGAAACAATATCTCAATATCGGGAAGCTCAAAATATTTATACTTTTAACCTCTTCAAGTCTAGAGGTTTTTACGAAGAACTTGTTAAGGAGTCTGTAGAATACCCTAGACGCTTACACTCGTACATAAACCAAAGTACTAAGAGAAGAGGAAATATCCCAAAATTATGGGAAAATAGTAGTACTGCATCATTAGTGGTGGACGATCATGGTAAAGCTCGGGCATTTTCAAATTACTTTAGTAATTTACATATCGTAAACATGCTCCCCCCTGCAGTTTACCGAGGCCCCACCACACACACATTGGACTTGGATTCCATCAAAGTAATCCGTGACTCTGATCTGCTAGGAGAATCCATGGGACCCGATTAGATACATCCTAGTTTACTAAAGGAACTGGCAAATTTTGTAGTAAGTCCCCTAAACATATGTTTTGATCTGCTTGTAACCCAGGGTCGATTACCACAAAGACTGGAAGAATGCCATAGTAAGTCCTGTCTTCAAAACAGGCACGCAAGATAAACCTAAGAACTATCGACCCGTAAATACAACTAGCGTGGCCTTTAAAATTTTAGAAATTATTCTGAAGGAGTTGTATACGTATCTCGGTGAAATATGGGTCCTTTTTGGAGAAGTAGCATAGCTTTGGAATAGGTTATCCCTGTCTCACTAACTTATTTGCGGCTTGTGAAAGCTGGTGCGCTCCTTAAGACCAAACGTTGCCTGCAGATGTAGCCCACATTGACTTCAGCAAAGCATTTGACAAAGTTCTTCACAACCGGCTGTTGAATGAATTTCGTAATATCGGGTTGGGAAGCAATTTATTGATGTGGATAAAGGACTTCCTAGTTGGGGGTCAAAAATAGCACGGGTGAATTTAAAATTGTCTAACTGGGAAACTGTGCTTAGCGCAGTGCCTCAAGGTACAGTTTGGGGGCCACTGTTATTCTTCTTGTATTTAAATGACCTTCCTAGTCTCCTATCATAATCGGCTTTGCCATATGCTGACGATGTCAAGAAATGGAGAGAAATAAAAAGTAAATGTGATAGTTTAGAGTTTCGAAATGATCTGTAGAGATTATCTGGCTGATCTAAAACTTGACAATTGCGAATAAATGCTTCCAAGTTCATTGTGGTGCATGCTGGTTACCAAGGTACAGATATATACACGGTGAACGATATTGAGCTACCTGTTGTCCAGACACACAATGACTTGAGAACCATCGTTAGCTAAGGTTTAAAAACTGCTGCACACTGCCGTTAGATAGCCACCAAAGTTTTTAGAACCCTATGGTCAATATGAAGGGTCTTTAGTCATGTCGATGCTAAAACCTATTTGACTTTGTTTACAGTACTCCTACGTCCTAATCTCGAATACTGTATACAAGCGGCTAGCCCTTGTCTAATGAGAGACGGTGAGCTTTTGGAAAAGTTTCAGGAAACCGCAAGCAACCTGATTACCGGAATAGCAAAGCCTCCGTATGATGTTCGATTGGCTAAACTAAACCTATTTCCATTATCGTATTGAAGAACCGGGGGCCACTTGGTCGCAGTTTTTAAACTGCTTAGTGATTAACTTCGGTTTCAGCTTGGAAACGACAGGAGGCTTGATGACCTGTGTTAGTCCTGGAAATGGTAGTATCTCAGTTGATCCAACTTTCTTTTGAAAGAGTCGACGGATGGAGCCTCAACCACGTGCTGAGGTAATGAATTCCACTCGTTGATGATTCGATGGGAAAGTCGATAGTCAGCTGACAAGTAATTTGTTCTGGGCTTATGAACATATTTGGAGTGTCCTCGTAAATTCTCTGTTTTGGAAGACAAGAAAAATGGGGGCATACCAGGTGCAAATTTATCACTAAGCAATTTGTAGACTGTAATCAAGTCGCCTCTAGTTCTGCGATATGACAACGGGAAAAGGTTCAGCTTGACCAGTCGAGCTTCATACGGAAGCTTCGCTATTCCGGGAATCAGTTTAGTCGCCGTTCTCTGAATCTTTTCCAGAAGCTCACTGTCTTTTTTTAAGCAGGAGCTAGCCGCTTGTATGCAGTACTCAAGTTTAGGACGAACGAACACTGTATACAAAATCAAAAACGTCTTAGCGTCGACATGACTAAAAGCCCTACGTATTGACCATAAAGTTCTAAAACCTTTGGCGGCTATTGCACGGCAGTGTGCAGTAGTTTTTAAGTCTTGACTAACGATAACTCCTAAGTCATTATATGTCTGGACGACAGGTAGCTCAGTGTTATTCATCGTGTATGTATCTGTACCTTGATGACCGATATGCATCACAACACACTTGGAAGTATTTATCGGCAACTGCCATGTTTGAGACCATTCAGATAACTTCTTCAGGTCATTTTGAAGTTCTAAGCTATCACCCTTACATCGTATCGTTCTCCATATCTTGACATCGTTAGCATATAGCAGGACCAATGATGATAGATGAAGAAGGTCATTTACATACAGGAGGAATAGCACTGGCCCCAAAACTGTACCCTAGGGCACTCCACTACGCACAGTTCCCCAGCTAGATAATTGTGAGTTCACCCGTACTCTTTGTTGACGCCCAACTAAGAAGTCTTTTATCCACATCAATAGATTGCCTCCAATCCCGACTTTTCTTAGCTTATAT